TCCCTCCTCCTCCTCTCTCTCTCTCTCTCTCTCTCTCTCTCTCTCTCTCTCTCCTCCGGCAAACGGGGAGGGAAAGGGCCGCCGCCGACGAGGTCGGGCCCACCGATAATCCAGGTAATCCGCATCGAGAGAAACCGATTTACGAGAAGCGTTAAAGCGAGGAGCGATTGCCTTACGGTTTACGCTTTACGAGCAGTCGAATCTTGGGAATGCAAGCTACGTGGATAGGATTCAATGGAAATAAAACGTGACTGGAGTGCTCGATCCGGCAATTTTCCGTATTTCATAAAATTGCCGCGCGATAATCGGCTGCGGACGCTCACATACTCCCCGATGCCATCTTTAGTACTGGCGACGCTTCTCGCAATAAATTTCATCGCGATTTGCCGAGCTGGCGCGGACGCCAGTCCTCTCTCCTCGCGATTAGTTTTATATTGCGTTTGGAGATACCTCGAATTTTGACACTTTTCCAAAATCGCGTTTTACTGTTATAGATTTTATAGTCGTCCTGATAGGATTTCGTATAGTCGGCGATCGAAGAGTTGATCGATTTTATCGTCCTTTTTGTTACATTCAATTCTGTGATTTTTCTTTTCTTCTTCGACAATCACTATAATCGCATAGATTTATATTTAATATATTAAATACAACATATTTTTGTTAATAAAAAAGACATCTATACTTACTTAAAGAATATTTATATCGCTTACATTTATTACCGCTAATACTAATAATTTGAATTTAAAGTTAAATTAGCACCCTAAATATTATTTACATGTTAGGATATTATTTCATCGTAATGGAATATTATTGATACTATACGTTACACATAAATTCTAACATATGCCATAAACAAGACTGAATGAAATATCTATTTCATGTTATTGTTTACACTACAAATACTTAGTCGCTCTCAAAATTAGATTGATTATAATTATTAAATACACATTAAATAATACAAAACGATTAATTCGAATAATTAAAACCATAAAATACATTTGCTATAAAATATATTTTAATGTGCAAATATAAATTTGAACTGATAATCAAATAAGACATATTTTAATATAAATTTTAAGATTAGATGCATTCGCATATTGTGGAAAATGTATCTGAATTCATGCTCGTTCGATTTGCAATTGGATTAACAATACTGAAACTCAATAATTCAATGCAATCAGCATACACTCAGTTTAAGTAGCCTATTGTTACGTACTTTGATTATGGCCCAATTTTCTATCGTCCTCGATTAGCTGTTGATTAACACAGCATTGAACAGTAGAGAGATAGATTGTCAAAACACACTTGACATCGGCGTTTCATTGGAGTAAAATTCAGTTCACTGGAGTAAAATTAAACGTTAATAACCAAGATTTAAACATGTAAAAAATATGAAATATTAAAGAATTCTCAAATATATTAAGTACACAAAAATATACGACAAATAAAATTAAAATATGTCACAGTTGAATTTAAAGTTTAATTTAAAAAATTAGTGTTCTATTATTTTTCTTATAATATAATTTGATAGAAATGAATTTTATATCAATTTCTATTAATAAACGAAAAAAGTTTTTATTATTAATAAATGAAAAAGCTAAAAGGAATAATAAAGTTTTATCGAAATACATGCGTTTACGAGAGATAACACGAGTTTAATGCAACAATGTATAGCATCAATAAATATTTGTAATTGTTCCATTGCAACATGCCAAAAATAACTAGATGCGGTTATTGACGCGGTGCGTTGTCATGTGTTGGTGGAATGTAATTACCAAAAATAGGTAGCAATAACGCACACGGTAGACGCTGTGTAAAAGTTAATCTTACAATTGCATATAAATGTGAATGAAATGGTTCAATAATCGAAGCGAAGCCCATCGTGCACGCCAATTGAATACAATAATCGCCAGCGATTATTGTAGGCCAAGCATAAATAAGCGTTCCGTCATTGGTGGCAAAGCGCGTTTTAAATTTTGATCATTGATTAGCTCGGAAGAATCATATAGACATAATTATTTCTCGATATGTTTTTACCTTCATTTTGCAATCAATTTTATTCATTTAGTTTCATATATTAGATAATTGCCATGTCTCGTTGTATTCTATTGTATTTAAAAATAAAATAATATGGTATACTCGCACAGGTAAGTGGTTTCTTAAAAGAATACAATTTGATAATAGCTGTTATTGCTGCGTTCTTTAAAAACGAGCTGAGTACAATATTAAATGCTGTTTGCATAATGGTATTTCATTAACACGTTATTATTCCTGCGATGGTTGTCTTATTACATTCTCAATGATGCGACTGGATTATCAAAGAGAAACATAAAACGCTTTTTTATATTCCATATTTAATTACGGACCACGCTTAAGATACGTAAATTGTTGTCCTAATTAAATTCGCAGATATTGCGAGAGAGAGAGGATTATATGCAGAGAGAGATTCTGAAATCGGCGCAACGGAGCAACGATATCAACGTATCGATATAATTTTTGCATGCGTATCATTTCGTCGGCAGAAACCTCAAGAGAGTCGTTGATCAAATGTCGAGCACTCCTGTCATCGTCTGTCTAACGACATCATCAGTCTAACGATCGTATTGCAAGACTGACGGAAGAACCGAGATATGAAATGATGTAGACAGATGGGCGCGATAGTCAGATAGGGTGGGTAGAAACGGAAACTGAAAGACGGAACGCGCGGGAGGCTTCACCGTGTGCAAAATACACAGACACAAACATGACGCACGTGTTAACGCGTTCATCGGACACATGTTGAATTCACCTAGCCGTGTGAGTACAAACGCACACCGTCTCGGGCACATGCTTTCTATCTAGCTACATACGGATTAAGCCTAATGGCGACCTTAATCAGCGACGAATACGTCGAGTCGGCCGGTTTCGCCGTTCAAGTAAGCGCTCGCAATCGCAACGCTGCCGGCATTAGCATCGGCACGTACCAAAGCGAATTTGTATATAATGTCTGTATTATAACTTGCGCGAACATCACACTCACACCGCCTTGCGAGCCTTTCCGCATGGAGAAACTTCGAAACGCGAGCCGACCTCTCTCCTCTCTGG